CATCTTCCTTGGTAGCGGTCCTCCATAGTTTTAATATCCTGGTGAAATCTTTCACCTTGTTCTTCACTGGTGTCTCCTAAATTTTCAGGAAAACAGTCTAAGTGACTGTGTAAATATCGCACCTTAATACTCATATTACACCCAAGGGATTTGAAACTGTTAAGCATCTCGTTTACCAGTTCAACGTAATTTTCAGCTTTGCGTTTGCCTAGAAAATTTCTGATAACTGCAACAAATGAAGTCCAGGCTTTTCGCTCAGCTTCATTCATCGAATTTATGAAGGCAAGATCGTTAATGAGTTGTCTTATTTGTGGGCCGTCAAATATTCCTGCTTTAATTTTTTCTATACTTAACTGAGGCATTTTTTCCCTTATATATGCAAAGCATGATCTCTTCTTATCAAGAGCCTTTACAAACTGCTTCATTAGGCCTAGCTTGATGTGCAGTGGAGGAAAGATGATTTTCTCTTGTTCAACTAAGGGGTTGTTAACGACATTTTTTTCTCCAACGTCCATGTTTTCTCTCTTAGGCCACTCTTTTCTAACCCAGTGGTGTGTTTTGTCTCTGCTATCCCAGAGGCACAAGAAGCAAGGATATTTGGTGTAGCCAATTTGCTGTCCAAGGAGAAAGTTTACCATTTTTAAGTCTACACAAATTACCCATTGATGTTCACGATACTTTATCTTCTCCAAGACCAGAGCTATGGTGTTATATTTTTCTTTCATTTTCGTTGAGTGAGCAATTGATATTGAACCATATTTGTTCCCATTGTGTAGAAGGACATATTTCAAACTTCGTTTTGAGCTGTCAATAAATAGGTGCCAATCATCTGAAAAATATTCAAGAAGGCCCATTTTTTCCAAGAGTCCTCTAATTTTGTGACAAAACACAAGATTGTTTTCTTGAGAGAAGAAGGGTAGCAGATCCTTTTCTCTTGTATGGTAAAAGGTAATTTTGGTTCCTTGCTCCAGTAAATTTTTCTCCTTCAACCTGAAAGCCAATAATTCAGAAGCTTCTTTTGGCAAGTTGAGATCTCTGGTGAGGTCATTTAACTCATCCTGGTTGAAACATTGAGGAATTGATGACATTCTCTCATAATCACAGTCACCTTCATTAGGATCAGAGGGATACTCGTCCTCACAGAGCTCTGGTAGCTGGTGAAATGATGGAACTGGCACTTCCTGTGAGTGAGGGACCGGGCATCTTGCAGAGACTAAATCAGGATAAGTCCACTTGCTATGATTGTTACAATTAATTCCATTAATATTTACTAGGCAGAAATAACAGTCATCGAAGTGATTTTTGGGTTCTCTCCAAACCATCGGTATGCCAAATTTTAGACTTTTTCTTTTCCCAGTAGTCCACTGTCGTAAATCTTCTGTACAAGTTTTACAGACCTGATGCGGTGCCCAGCTTTTATCCTGATCAAGTTTAATACCAAAGTATCCAAGATAAGCTCTCTTTACAAAGTCACTAATAGTTTTTCTGTTTTCTTTTAACATATATTCTTCGCATATGTAGCAAAACACATCAGAATGATTTACACAACTTCTTCTACTTGAACTCATTTTATTCAACAACACAAATAAAAGCATCTAGAACACAGTACTTTGTTCTTTGTTTCCCTTTCCTTCTAGAACTTTCCTTTATAACCTTTTCCCTTGGGTGGAATTAACAATTCTTGGAACCACTGAGAACAAGGAGATGAATGAAGTTCTGATGCTGACAAAAGAGGAGAAAGGACATTATTTGCCCAGACCTTGAGGTGGACAGACATGAGTTGTGTTCCAGGTTGCGTTTGGCAACGGCTGGAAAGTACAAGAGACTTTGATGAAAGGATTAGGTTTTATTGTGGGTATGACGAAACAGTGTGGCAATTAAGTGTATACGTTAGGGGGGCATAAGAATTTTAGAAAGGTTTAGGTGGGGCATAGCACAAAAAAGGTTGGGAAACACTGATCTAGACACTGCACGGCTAGAACTTACAAACTTACCTCAACTCTAGTTGAAACATTGAACGTCAATTCGTTACTGAATGCTTACTTCATTTGGTGGATTTACCTGGAACTAACTGGATGGCAGACTAACAATGGGGAAAATATACAGGAATCAATTCTTGCATATGTGATTTAGAACTGTACAAACTGGAATTAGAGCTGTACATTTTATGTAGCACTGTATGTTAAAAAACACAGATCTAAAAAACTAGAGCTGATAGAGAAAAACTGATTTCATATTTGGATTCGGCGACCCAAATACAGCTAAAATCAGTTCTAAAATCCTAGGCACCAAAAAAAAAACTTTTTTGTTGATCTGTGTTATCATAACAAAAAATTATAAGCAACTGTTACAAATAGAATAAAATTTCATTAATCTGAATCAGTAGATAAGTTTTATAATTGCAAAATGCAAATGAGCTTGGGGCTTGGTCATTTTCTGTGATGTAACATCATATACAGGATATTTATTCATGTCTTCAAATAGTATTGAACATGCAACAAATTTTATATTTTAAAAAATGAATAATACAATCCATAATTATTTTCAAGTATTACTAAACTGATATTTATCATAAAATATATTAATTATTACTGGGACTAGTGTGTATGTTGTTTTTTTCCCCTTCTTTTATTTCCAATACTGTTCATCTTTCAAAAAGAGATTTTAAGCTGTATTTTTGAAGATTTCTTGAGAAATTTAATTTATCAATCAATCTTTATTAGTATAAAGGGTGAAAGCCCTGTTACTCGGGCTAAGTAATTACAATTATCAAGAGGTAAGTATACTTTTTTACAAACAGAAAATCAAAATTTTCATTAATAATTATTTTCTTACTAGTTCTTAGATTTTGTTTATTATTTGCTAGTTTTGTTGTCTTTCACAATTTTGATTACAAAATTACAAACTGTACAGCTCTTTCTTTGAAAGTTTATTTAGGTTTTTTCTAAAGTCTTGAGTTAAACTTTGCTGTATTATGTAAGATAGTTCCATGTGACTTTCGTATTTGAGTAAACTTCTCAATTTTTTAGTATGTGTAATATTGAAAAATTGCTTGAGTCACACCAATAACAATTTTTATTTAAAAAATTTATATATTTATTTCCTATGAATAATGAGCTTTTATTTAAATGTAATTGAATTATTAGTCTTTTAACATTTATTCCCAATGGGTAGTTTATATATGGTTGTAGTGAAGGTATTTTTGGATACCATGAGTTATACTTTGATGATATAAGCTATTTTGATCTTTGTTTATACTTTGTGATATTGCAGAATCTATAAGTAATGAATATCTGTATTTCCAATCATAAATATTATTCTCAAACAAGAGGGTACACACCGAATGTTTGTAGGATTTTGTTTAACTTTCTTTGCCATAGTTGATTAATTTCCTGTCTTTTACTTTGCTTTAACATTTTTTGGTGTAAAAAAGATATATTTCTGTCACTTTTAAATTTTATTTGATAGTAGAATTTTATTATGTGTTTTAAAAAAAATTAGAAGAACCAGAGTCGATTTGTCTTATGTCGAATAGCCTATCCAGGCATGGTTCTTTCTAGTTGATATAGTATTCAAAGAAAGTAAATATGGAAGCGTTCCAGATCATATAAGAAATTGAGACCCCAAATTGGTCCTTCATAATATGTAATTGAATTTATTAGAGAATTATATAATCTGGTGTGTAGGTATATATTAGAGATTTTTATCTTGAACATAGAAATAACAAATAAGTATATACCAAACAAGATATTCCTGAATAAAAATTGATGTCAGAAATGCCCAGGTCTGTCTATGCACCTAGTTGTAACAGTAAAAACAGATAAAAGAAGACAGTTTCAGAATATGCAATAACAAAAAGTATTAATAGAACAAATTTAAATTCTTCTTTTTAGACATGAATTATATAAAACTATATGAACCTTCACAGATGACCATACATATGGCAAATATAGTTGTTGTTTACGATATGTATAGACTTCAGATTTATGCTTCTTTTTGTTATTGTGATAATGATCTTCAAAAGTATTTAACATTAAAGGATTTTGATTCATAGGAAGAAGCTTTTTGTATAATCATTTGTTAAAATTAGAGTTATAAGCAGGCATTTTATAATATCAAGTAAGACATTGTAAACCTGTTTGCATGCTTATTTTTATGATATCATACAACTCCTGCTTCAGTTTCTCTTTAGTTCAACTTGAAAAGACTAAAATAATTCTAAGATTGGGTTTTAACAAATGGGACTAATTTAATAGTTAATTTCTTTCTTTATTTTTATTTATTCATTGTAAGATGTATCAGAAAACATTATTCCTGAACAAAGTCTAAACAGGAAGAATATATACAATGAAACTATAAAACTATAAAAATTGATAGATGTGCCATATAAAACAATTACAAATTATTTTATTTGAATACACAATTTACAGAAAAATTCAAACATCTTATTATATGTCAGTGATGAAAAAAATCATTATCAATTTATTTTTAAATTATAAATTAATTACTATTATTATACTATTAATTTATGTTATAAGAATATATTTAGCATATGTTAATTCTTAGTTCTCTAAAATAACTGGTATATAACAGTAATTGAGAACTAATTAATAAAAAAGGGGATAAAAAGTGAGTCAGTAGACATGTTAATCCTATTCCTACTATCAGGATTTATATTACATTATACAGATACTATAGCATATACTGTATTTGAATGTTTATAACTAAACAGTAAAGGATTATTTTAGGATTGGTATGGTCTGGATTTTCTGGATTCTCAGGTAACTTTAAGATTCAAATTTAAGAAGCAATGAAGAAAAAAAAACAAGTAAAAGATTTTACTATGAAATAACAGAATGTAAATTTATTTTGGAAATTAGAGAATATAATAATTTTTAAAATAATTTATTGAATACTAAGATAAATTTAGTTAACAGTTTAATTAACAAAATTATGGTTTTATTGATTTTGACATTAAAGGAATGTGTTAAAACAACTAAAACATGTGTAACTTAATAAATAATAATTATTATAATTAATAAATTATTAATAGTAATTCATCTGCTGCTTTTGCAGTACTATTTTTTAACAACAACAAGCACATAACTGCAGTAATGCAGCAACTTAAACTACTATACTGAATCCAAATAACAATTACAATAATTAATGTTTAATAATTGAAGCATTGAATTAAGACTGATTGCAATAACTGATAACAATGTTTTATTTTCTGTATGTAGAGGCAAATAACAAAAAAGACAGCCTGTTTGCCTATTTACATGAAGATAATGATAACAATCACCAAACTTAAAGTTGTAATTTGTAATTTTCAGAAATTGATGATGTAATTTGTATTTATTACTTTATTAATGTATAAGTAGCATAAATAGTTGTTATTTATTAAAATAAAATTTTTCTTTTAGGATGGTTCTGAAAGAATGATTGAATCTCTTTCTCTTATTGATGCTGTCATGCCAGATGTTGTAGCTTCACGGCAACAACAAGCTCATACTGCTAAGAATCCTGTTGTTCGAACAGAAGCAAATAATGCAAATGGGGAGGATGGTAGTCAAAATTATTGTAAGTTTATTTCAGATATCCAATTTATTATAAAATTTTCAGTGAAATTTTTTAACTTAAAACAATGAGCATTCTTAAGAAATCCATAATTTTTATGTTTATAAGTATTTTTAAGGTAAAGTCTTTTCATTTTCAGAATAAAAGTATATATATACTTTTATTCTGAAAATGAAACGACTTGTTTTAATTAATATGAATTCATAGAAATTAAAACAATCACATCTTGCAAATCATTTATTATTTTTACTAAAAATTTTTAAAAAAATTGAATATTCAAAATAGGAACTCATTACATTATATTAAAATAACAGTATATAGCTATCATCAAATATTACAGAATATAGTCCAAGTTTAATACTTTGCTTCAGTTGCTTCATTCTAATAAATAAAAATACAATCTGATAAATGTATAGTAATGAAATTGAAAATAGTTTACAAACTTTTTTCTTCAGTTCTTAAATCACCGTGCACAATATTCCATATTTCATCATTCACAAAAACTCTTCATGTATGTTTTGAACTGTACTTGTCTTTAAACAGTTTTTGATTTATATGACGTTGCTCTTATATTTTATCTTCATATATTTCAATTAATTATCTAGATGACAATTTCTTATTCACTTCGTTCACTATTTTTTCATGAAGAATTTCAGTAATAATTTGTTTCACCACTGTGATAATTAAGCTCACATATGTCATTGCCTACATTGTGTGATACTGACACTTCCTATATCCAAAATTTTTTTATACTGATACTTTTATATTCATCAGAGTTTTTTCTTAATATAAACATGCTCTTTCAACTTTAAAATTTTTGGATCTGTTTCTTACTCTATTAATTTAGTTTTCACTTTATTTATATTACATGTTTTTGTTAGTGATCCAAAAAAACTGTTGTGGGTCTTTCATATTTAAGTTCTGCATTATGTTCTTTAATTTTGGTATTTAGTCTTCTCTCTATGTTCTCCTATGTATAGTTTTCTGGATTACATGTGCAGGAAATTGAATGTTTCATCTTTGTCTTACACATTACATCTTTATCTTTTTCATTAAATAAAATACATCATAAAAATATTTCTTTATTCCTGGTAGAACTATATTTACATTGTATTGTTTTAATATTTTCTTAACCTCTTTATATATCTTTCATACACATGGAAATTTGTAATATTTGTCATTTACTTTCTTGTTATTTTTTAATGTCATTTTTTAACCATATATTTCTAATTATTCACAACTGTGTTTGGATAGGCATTATTTTTCTTCTTTTACATTTTTTTTCTTTTTTTTTTATCTTTCTTTATTATTATACTTAAAATCTTTACATACTCCACGGTACACACATCTCATTATGTAACTTGGTACATAAGATTAAAACTTAATTGTCTTTTATATATTACAAACTTTTTCATATTTTTGAAATTCAATTCTCTTATCTCTTATTTGTTATCATTTTTCAAATTTCATATTTTTATTTTATTCATTTGCTTTTTTATTAATTATGTTAATATTTTACTATTTCTTCATAATAAGTGTAAGTAACATGCTTATCAAAATTTATTATTAGTATTTCAGTCAGTTTCAGGCCAATAATTGTGCTCATACTACAGTAGAGCATCAATTATTTGACCCCCAATCAATCGTCACATTGGTTAACCGATCGCGTTCTAGTCGGCAAATTCAAATGTCCACTAGTGATGTGGCGCTACAATATTTGGCTATGTCTTGGCTACTTTAATATTATTTTTGTTAAATTTTTGTATGTTATAGCTGGCAACACTGGCTCGATCATGAAAGTGAAGCCAGTATTTAAACGAGGCTTAATTTTCTAATTATGAGTGGTTGTTTGTTTTGTGAGCAATAAAATAATTTTAAAATAATCCATATTAATAAGATAAGAAAGAGAGAATTTAAAAATAATTTTTAACGATACAATAGTGTGGGTCGCCTGAGGTAGGACAAAGTCGTACCTCATTTTAATAGGCAACAGTTCATTGGTCAGCGGATGGCTTAGATCAGCAGTTAGATCCTGTAAAGTCGGGATTCTTTTTTTCGGGTCGAGTGGAGGAGGTGAGAGGGGTCGTCGGTAAGGTCTAGACAATATTCGAAATAAAGACGACTTTTAACAACAAACAAACATTTATTAGACAAAACTAGAAACTAACAAAGAGAATATATATCGTTTCCGCGGAGTTGGAAGGGCCGTGCTGAGAAAGAGTTCACAATACTTGGGGGTTTCGTACCTCTGTTGAATTCAATGGCTACTACGGACAGAAATTCGGATAGAGGTTGAGCTTCTCTCCAGTAGGTCTTCTAGGGAAGTCTCCTCCGGGATCGACGAGCGGCTGGATGGGTGGGTCGGCGGTGACGGTCTTCGACGAGAGATGACGGACCTATTCACGGACAGCAAGGTCGACCCTCTTCCATCATCGTCCTCTCTTTTATATCTTTGGTAGATCTTGTATCACTTTATCTTTTTACACCAATCATAGATTTCTTTGGATAAGATCTGGTTGATTCAGCTTCAGGTTCCGGAGGGAAAGGAAGCTACTCCGGGGACGGGAAGATGAACATCCGCCTCTGAAAAGTGTCGAAAGAGCGAAAAAATAGAGAGTTTCTTTGTTTAAAATAAATGTTTTAATTCATTAATTTCGTTGTTTGAACGACTTAAACTCGTTTAATTCGATCCGAATTTCACAATAGCAACAATTATTTTTAAAAAAAAAAAATTGTTAGGCTTAACATTGATGAAAATTCAACATGAAGTAGGTTAATAGTGATATACTAATATACTAATTACATGGGATATACTAATATACTATACTAATAATGTATTTTTTCATACTTTTCGGTTATCCATTTTTTTCAGTTATCCGACAACCCCAGTCCCCAATTGAGTCGGATAATCGATGCTATACTGTAATGCCATCAGCCTGTATATAATAATAATTTTTTACTTTAAAATAATTAGTACAACATGCAAATTCTACTGTATCAGTTTTTCAATATTCCACATTTAACTATGCTCTGTAGTAAGTTTTATAGTTCTTCAAATTTTTTCTATTTTATCAGCATCTCTACTTACAAAAGACTGCTTCTCAATATTTATTATTTTTTATGTAAATTTTTAAACTATATAACTTAAGAATTTTAAATTTAATTGTAGACTATGTCTGTATTTTTTCTTCGTTTTACATATCTTTAAACATTTCTTGTGTTTGAATGGACTTAAATTTTATAAAACAAATTTTGCTTTAATAAAATCAGTGATTTAGTATAACAAATATTATTACCATGCTTAAAATTTCAGTACTATATATAAGAAATTTTACCAAAGTAACTTTTACCTAAATTTGACTCACTTTACATTTAACAACACATTCTCACACAGTCAATACAATTTGAAGTACAGAAATAGTGTGTTTTGTGAAAATACCTTTTCTGTTTTGTAATTTTATCGTTGTTTCAATTTATTAGTTATTACAAATTTAGTTTACCATTTTATGTTTGTTACCATTAAAAAATGGAAAACTATGTTAATTTTAATTAAAATTTACATTTATTACATTTAGATTCAATTTACATTTTTGATATAATCAAAAATAATACACTTCTTAATAAAATTAAAATAAAATTTTGTACCAATTAATAACATTTTATGACTATTTTCAAATAGTGTTTTATGATTTGTTTTCTTTATCTGTTATAACAAAATTTCAGTACAGTGAAATTCTGTTAACGTAGCATCTAGTATGTGGCAAGCTCAATAAGCCAGCATGTTGAGTTCGTTGGTGGAGTTATCAGTGTGCTGGATAGGTCAGGAGTTAAGATTTTCTTCTAAAAGCACACAAAACATGCAGTTGTTGGTAAGGGATGTGACAACTGTTAAGACATAATGATGTGCTAGGTACAATTAGTTAGCTCATGCACAATCTTTCTAAAGACTTGAAACTGCATGAATTTGATAAGAGGAGCAGAAATATTTAGTGCACTTGGAATCAATAATTATCATGGAAACAGCTACAATACATTACTGTTTGTGTACTTTGATAATTAGAGTACATCTGTATTTATATGCAATAAAAGTGTACAAAGCACAAAGTAAGAACAGTTGTGTTCTTGTTTCAAGCCAATCAAGGGTAGAAATAGCCTGGAAGAATTAAAAAGACATGTTAAACAATTATAAAAGACGAATTTGTACAGTTTTACACTGAAAGATATGTAAAATTGTGTCCAGAGGATTAAAAAAAAAACAAGAAAAACTTCCACCATCTGATAAGGCAGCATATTTGATAACCCAACACTATGTAAGTCCTTATGATGATGGGTTAATGGAATGTCACTATATAATGGAATAAATGGTCTAATTCTTGATCTATGGTTTTAACAGATTATTATAACAAGACTTGTAATAATAAACCACTTTATAATTAATAATAATTTGAATCTATTCTTAACTAAACATAGATTCCTTAACAAAATACCTGCATAACTTTTATGAAATTTTTCTGCAAAATCTTTTCTTATATATTAACTAAATATTACAAGATTCTTAATATTCAGTTATAACTTAGATTTTCAAAAGTTTTTAATATTTTCCAATATTTTTGTTGTTATTCATAATTTTATTATATTAGAGAAATAGAGCATTGGAAAACATTATCAAATGATAAAAGAAAATTGCACTGTAGACATTTTTAAAATTCTGAGTATTTCTTACTGTTTTATTGTTCAATCTGTTATTGATCTTTATCATTATAAGGCTTGATAATATATTGAAATATAGAAAATTTTAAAAAATATAGATTATAAATTCTCCTTCCTTGATTAAAATCTAAAAATCACAAGATAGGTGAAAAATTTGTTCTATAATAGTATTTTCATGTTGCTTTTGGTATTGATGTTTCAATATATTATGGAGTTTGTGTACAAATATACTTTTGTAAGGAATATAATTAATAGAACTTAACTGATATAGACTTGAAATAATGATTATTTTAAGTATAAACATAGAAACTTTTGATAGATTTCTGGAGAAAATTTTTCCTTGTAAATGGTTTGCATAGCTTGATACATATTCTTTAAAATTTGATTTTATATTTATTTACTCGTTAGCTAATCATACAGATAATATGGAAGTTGATGGAAGTATTGAAATACCAAGTACTAGAGCAACAATTCTAAGAGGACATGAATCTGAAGTATTTATATGTGCTTGGAATCCAACATCAGATCTTTTAGCATCAGGGTAAAACTCTTATATTATTTATTATTTATTTACTCTTTTTAATTATTTAAATCTAAAATTTTCAATATGATGCAGTTGAAAAACTTAAATGAATCCTTCATTTAAATAAAATTCTACATTTCAGAAAAATATTTTTGCCATATGTTTTTTGTGAAATATAACATTTCAGTTATGTATTTAACTAGCTCTGGAGATTCCACTGCAAGAATATGGAATATGAATGACAATACATCTAGTGCAAATCAGCTTGTTTTAAGGCATTGTATTCAGAAAGGTGGTGCTGAAGTACCAAGTAATAAAGATGTTACATCTTTAGATTGGAATGTGAGTATAAAATAAAATATATAAATGAAAGTTTCATTAAAATTTTATTCAAAACTATATAATTATTAGTAACTGTTTTTATAATAATTAAAATATGAAGAGTTTGAATTTAGCAATCTTTTTCTTTATAAACTTTCATTTTAAAAGTAATTATTTATTATTATTAAAATCCAACAGACTGTATAAATCTAAATATTTGTGTGAAATTCTAGTCTATAGTAACAGATAAACTTTACTAAACTAATTTTCTGTTAATGTTCAAAATAATAATCGAATTATGGAATGTTTTAGTTAACCATTGTTTAAATTTTTTATAACACACTACAATATATTTCTCTCTATTTATTTTATCTAATGTAAAAAATATGTGATGTACTTAAGTTTCTGTATAAAAATACTATCAACTATCATAAAATATTAGAATTAAAATGTTAGTGTTGCCTTTATCTCTAACATTAAGTTGTTCTACATTAAATTTAAAAATAAATATATATACTGTATCTATTTTATTTTACATTAACTGCTTTGTTAGAGTTTAGTTTCCTCAAATAATAAGTATAAAGATGACAAAAAATATTTTATATAATTTTAAAAAATCCTTCTTTAGGAAAATCTAAGACACAAAATAATTATTTTTAACTGATCTACAAGATATATCTGGTCTTTGAAATACCTACAATTTGAAATTGACATTAATGGAAATCATTCTTGACATTTTTCTTTGTTGCATTGAAGAACAAATAATTAGAGACACTTAAACTATGCAATCAAATATGAAAAAGAGATGTTTAAAATGTAAAATTTTATATTCTGTTTCTTACTTGCATTTTGAACAGATTGCAACATTTTTGAACAATTTTGCAACATTTCAATATATTATATGTAATAATATATGTAAACACTTTATTCTTTAATATTAATTATTTGTGTTTTCTACACTTAAAAAACTGAAAAAGATCTTAGTCCCTTAACTTTTGATTAGTTCAGTATTGTTATGTGTTACTTAAACTAAATAGATACGATACTTATATTTTGTACTCATCATTGCCTTTTTTGAAGCAGTTATGTTAGCCAATGCTCTCCTTATTGATGTGGATTTACTGCCCAGCAAGTCTAGGAGGGGCTCTATTGTACAAGAGTAACTGGAAACAGCTATTTCCATTTTGATAATAAGTTTTACCAACAAAGATAGAATTTTTATATGGGTTTTTCCCTGTCAGTTGATAAAAAAGATAGAAATATATTCTTGGCAGCCATCTAGTACTCCTTACTATATCTAATGTATGTAGATGACATGCTTTTAGTTTGGGATAGTATACATGAAGAGTTAGTATGTTTTGTAGATTTTCTGTCTGTCAAGTACTCTGTAGAGCACAAGGATGATGACAAGATAATGTCTTTTTTTGGATTTGGTATATACAGTATATAGAATAGACCCAGAATTATCTTTTAAGAGGTATCACAAATTTAACATGAACCATATACCTATTTCCTTCTTTCAATTCAGAGCATGCAAAAATGCAGTTTTTCAAAAAGCTACAGTTTTTTTTTTTTTTATCTATAGACCCCTTTCTACACTTCCTTACAACAGAAAATGGAATTGTAACATATCTCAGCAATCTTGGTTGTGGCTAAACTTATGCCAAGTTTAGATAACTCATAAATAGGATCCTACATTTACTGTACCTTATTTCCATGATTGTTAAGAAGGAAAGAGAATTTTTGGATAGTTATATTCTTCTTTATTTGGGATTTGTTTTCTTGTCTGTAACGTGTGCTTAGTTAATATGATTACACTGTTCTTATTAGACCTCAGTCAAGTTTGCATAGGTTACTGTGTTATGACAGGAATCCTTATGGTTTGCTGAAAAAATTAGGAATTTATTTGATTCCAGTCAAGACAGGACATTAAATGTTAACCTACATTATATCTTGGTCACGTCAAATATGTTATTATCTATTAAAGAGCATCAGAGGCAAACACGTTACCAAGTTATCTAGGGTGATTTTATCTTCCTTATTTGAATTGATTTGGAATGAGAGACAGCTCCTCCATCAGTGTTCTAGCTAAGGAGAGCTCTACATGTTTATAATAAAAAATTTTGCAATCTTCCAACTTTTGACTTTCCAGAGCACTGGATATTGTCCTTATAGATTGCTCAGTTGATCCTCATGGTATACATTTTCTATCTTCTGGTGTTGTGGGTGATGCATACTGTAGTTGTGTACACTTATTCTAACTCCTTTTTTTTTTTTACTAGTAATAATGCATTCTTGTTAGCAGTTTAATTGAACACTTGCAATTTTTTTAAGTCATTTCTGCCCAACTTATTTTGTGTGTTGCATTAACTTATCTTTACTTGTTAATTTTGCTGTCTTTATCTATATATATTTATTTGTTATTTTTTATTAGTAATTAATTTATATTTGGTTCTAAGAATTGGAATTGTATGCCATTACAACAAATTTGTATTTGCAATGTGCCATTTGAGTTTTGAATTTTATTGCCTGAAGATGACAGATATAAAAGACTGACAAAAGTACTTGCATAGTTTTAAATTGTTTTTAACATTGAAAGACTGTACATTCCTTTATTTGTATTACTTACAGCAGCATTTATGAAGATGTTTCTTTTTTAAATTTTTAACTTAAGAAAATTACAAAGCTTATGTCCTAGTTAATATTGGATTACTATATTTGTTCAAATAGACAGAAATGATGAATATACAGGTATACCTTGACTTACGTCGTTTTGAGTTACGTCATTCTTGATTATTTGTCATTTGTCAAAAAATATATGGAAAAATAAAAATCAAGTTTGTCATTTTATTCGACTTTACGTCTGTCCACCACAAATATTGAATTCGTAATATCACTATAAAAGCATTAAAGCACATAAAATCATATTAAAATATATACATTTACAGTAAATGTTAATATAATTATCATAAATCTTAGAGAACGAAACATGAAAACATCTGTGTTTCTGTGTTGTCGTCTTATTTAGCAGTCTTTAAGTGCTCAATATTGGTGTTTTTCACGGTAGCTCCAACATTACTGTTTGGTGTCCTTGTCAGCGCCGCTCGATATTGGTAAATTTAATATAAATTAGTTTATTTTTTACTGTCGCAAAATAATTTTAATAACTGTATTTGTTATTTAACCTTACAAAATCATCTTATTTTATAATGTCTTAAAGCAAACCACATTCACAAATAAAGAGTCCATGATGTACTGTAAACATCACCAAATTGTAAACATGTACAGTACATTTACAAGTATGTACTGTATGTTCATGAATTCACAAAATTTAGATTACTTTTTTTCTTTACTATATTAAAAACTAAAATGTATTTGTTTGTATGCTTAAAATAGATTCTTATTAACCATATATTATTAAAAATTCATTTATAAATGAAATACTAAACTGGGAATGGTTATTTGTAGTTTAGCCTAGTGACATGTAAATTCGACTTACGTCATTTTTCGACTTAAGTTGCCTCTCCTGGAACCAATTACCGACGTAAGGCGAGGTATACCTATATAGGTTGTTGTAATTTTATGCATTTACCGTAATTTATATCTAGATCAACCAGACTTTTATGTTAGACCTGGACTTTAGAATCTGATAACATAAGATGAAACAATCATTTTATTATTAGTTTATCTTGTTTCAGTTAAACTCTACACTATTTAAAGATGGCATTTGGATAATTTTCAATACTTAGAGCAATTTCTTTTTGAGAAACAAAATCAGCAAGTACACAGAACTCGCCCAGGAAAATAAGGCATATGTGGAGGATGGATAGGGTTCTTGTTGTATCTGTTGTCCTCTCTTCTACAGGTATCATACCACCCGAAAGCCTGAGAACATTACAGTTGAATAGAAACACATACATCACCCTACAGAAGACCACTATATTGAATACATGCCATATTGTTAGGAAATTCCTGAATACAGACACACATACTGACACACTTATTTAATTTTACTTTTTGGTTACTATGTCTTGACTCTGGTCTGGCATAGTATGCAGCCACCAGTGTGAACCGAGTATACCTACTAAACCCAACATAATAATAATAATAGTAATAGGCTGAGTTGATGAATAGATTTAGGCTGTCTTATTTTCACATGAAGTTCTTTAGCATTGAAAATTGGATGACTATTATGAACATTGATTTTGTAAGATACCTAAATGAAAATCCAGCATGTGCAATGATATTCTTGATTTGATTTATCTTTATAAATTATCTAAATAAAACAGTTTTCATATATATAATGAGAAAAATATAAAAATAATAATAATAGTAATAGGCGCAGAGGTTTACAATATTTATATGCGGAAAGGATGGCTGCGTTACCGTTTTTCTGGTTTACAGCTAGAAGGAAGAGGTTCTGTATCAGCAATTTCGATTTCCGGAGTGTTTTGGGGGTTTATCATCTCTTCATTTCTTTTAAATGAAGTTTCAGCCACAGTGGGTGCCTGTCGTCGATTTTTACTTATAAAGAGCACACCCCTTCGTTTCTTTAAGTAATAACAAATCGTAGAAATAACACATATGCTCAAGGTTGCCGTACTGATACATCCAACGACAATGGCGACAGGGAAATAGGAACTATTAGAGGAGGAGTGACTCTTCTCAGGTTTAATTTTCATCATACGGAGCAAGTGATTTAGAGTCAAGGTCATATCNAGATAATATACAATTTTCATAGCTTTATAAATTATTTTTAAAAATGTATTATTTATTTTAACAGAGTGATGGTACATTATTAGCTACGGGCTCTTATGATGGATATGCTCGGATATGGACTACTGATGGTAAGTAAATTATACGCTGCTAAAATATTTTATGCTAATTTCTAATAGTAAAAATTATAATCATGAAGTCCTGATTTGAAAGAAAAAAAAGAAAACCAGCATTTATTATAATCGGGAATTCAATTTGAAAATATAAAAAATAGCAATATAAAAGTTGAAATATTAACTAAAATTTATAAAAGTTTTTATTGTTTCAGTTTTTAAAATAATCTTGTTTGTTAAAAATTTTGTAATTATTATAAATATAATTTGGACTATAAAATTATAGTGTTTCAACTTTATAGATTTGTGACTTTAGCATTAAGTAGTTATTGTAAAGAAAAATTAATTACAATTAAATTCTTTCAGTTATTTAGAAGAATCCATAAGCAAAACATTAAAACATACAACTATTCCTGTTGAACTACTTATGTATTTAATTGGTAGATTTATACAGTTTGTTAAATGCTAACTGGTTGAACAAATGTTATAGTAAAAGTTATTTGCATAGAAAGAAATAAGATAATAATTGAATAGTAATTGATAAAACTATAGATATTTAAAAATGTTAATTATTTTTCAAATATTTTATGTAAAATAAATAAATTAACAATTATCATTTTTAACTTTTGCAATATTAAAAATTCTTTGTGTATGATAGATATATTGTATTTTGTTATTTTAGTGATGTTTACAAGGAATGCAAATAAAACATTGTTGCTTTTACTATAATTTTAAAAGTAAAATGAACAAAAATTTCAAATTAAAAATATAATAATAAATTCAAGTTTGTCAATAGATCTGAATTCACTAATTTGAAATAGAAATTTCAATATTTAAATTAAATTTTCAGGTCGATTAGCAAGCACATTAGGTCAACATAAAGGTCCTATATTTGCTTTGAAGTGGAATAAGAAAGGAAATTATATCTTAAGTGCTGGTGTTGATAAAGTAAGTTCAGAGTTAAATTTGTTTTAGTTTATATTGTACACTAATATTTATTACTATACTAGACATACAATTTTCATAATAGTAAGAATTACTTTATGGAATTTTATCTTGAAATCTTGAAATAATTACAGTTTAGTGAGATATTTAAACATTATAACAAATTTTAAATTAAAAATGAATTATCTTTAAATCATTCTACATTATCGTCACATAAATAGTTTTTGATACCTATATCAAAAAATTGAATTTAAAAATACCAGTAATTACAGACTTACAATTGATTTTCCAGCACCTAATGGTTGAGTAATTTTTTTAATTTGGATGGAATTTTGATAGGGTACTTAAAATTTGCATGACTACCAGACTTGTTCACTGAGTGGTCACATTGTGTGTAATGTATGTTTACTTAGATTATCTATATTGCAGTGGTGATCCTACTTCTTTGTGCAATTTTTAGTTTATTTTACTTAATTTAATCTTAGTTATGTCTTTGAAAACGTTGTCTGTCATTGGTGTCAAATGTAAACACCAAAAATTCATAATTAATACATGCTTAATTTAAGATTTTATCAGTCTATAGTGCTTCAGAAACATTGGGACTTATAATTAATGATCTATAGTCTGTCCAATGAACAATGTTTCAAGGTTGTTTTTGATGAATAGTAGTTACTCATAGACTAAAATAATGTGATGCAATAATTGTCAAGTTAAAATGAATCATAAACAGTTTTCAGCTGTTGTTTCAAGAAAAAAATTTTTTAAACAGTATTATATATGATTTTTACTAATTGATTAATGCTTATTATGAATCTAATCTCTAAACATTTAAATATTTTGTTATGGTTTCAATTTTATTATTTTAATTTTAATTTTTGTAACATCTTTTTATGATTTACTCTCTAAACTTTATTTTCAAAACACTTTTATTGATTCTACTATTCTTTTTAAACATTTTAATCATGAAAAGGACTTTTCAAATAATTCTTAATCAAAAAGATTTTTAAAGCAAGCACAGTTAAACTAAGAACATTTCATTTAGAACATTACTATTGTTTCTGCGTACTCAGAAACAATAGTATTAATGGCTCAATGCACTCTTCTATTAAACAGTCATATTTTCAATGGTGTCTGTTCAATGTTCAGTATATGTTTCACTGCATTTCTCCAGTTACAAATTGTAATGATTTTGATGGCAGATGATGTCAATTTCTCCACTTCATGAAGTTTAAATGAAACAGTTTTTGATCAAATTGATTCTTTTACTCACATCCATATTAACTCTGTAGGATTCAAATCACAATGATTAGGATAATCACAACAATTAAAGTAGGACATTTGATACAAATCTCATTACACTTTCTGCATGGATTAAAATTAAATGGTGACCTTTCTCAGTAGGAATTTGGCAACTGCAAATAAAACTGCCATTATTCCACTGTTCATTTTCACCATGTTTGTTTGTTTACCCATGTTTCATCTAAATAAATAAATGAGATATCTGGTAATTCTTGTCTGTATTGTCTTATTTGGCATAAATAACCATCTGTGCAACACAACAATCTCCTGTTTCTCAATATAAAATTTTTATGGTCTATTTTCCCAAATTTTCATTGAAGTTTTTTTTTTTTTGGTTAAAATATAATTTTGCAATGACCTACCTCTTGTAAATGAAATATTTTTGTTAAATTTTTCTTTAATATAAGAAATAATGGCTAATTATCTTTTCTAAAAATTCCTGAAATAGTTGAATGAACAACTAACAAATCAAAATCATCCAAATTGTAAGTGAAGCAGCTTTTTATGGGTTTTTGTTTCCAGGAATTGAAAGTTGCTTTAATGAAGCTGGTTTGTCAATGTTGTCAGTCATAATGTTCTTACTTTCAGTGATAATCCTTTTAACTGTCGATACAGATACATCAGCAAATTTTGATGTTTTGTTAATTACATCACTGATGATGTAATTTGAAGACTGAAGTAATTATGGACATTTAAAACGATAACCCTAGCTTGTCTGCAATGTTTCATCTTTTTTTAAAGACACAGCTCTTCCTTTCTTCCATTTTCCCCAAAGAAACAAAACACTGAAATTGAAAATGACATCATTACAATTTTAATTTACTCTCTTCTTGTTTTATCTCTATTGAATTGAAATCTGTTTTATATTAATTAGGATAAATTTTATTGTTATTATTATGATCTATTTATAATAACTTATTATTAAATAAGCTAGAAGACAATAAGAAATTAAAATTTCCATGTAATGTTTTATGAGCAAGTATGGGGTGAATGACACAGAATTGTAGCATTGTATTGGTTGCCCTGCCACTACAATCCATTAGGCTTTTACCATATAAGGCAACTCTTTCACTGAATGAAGTATAGGATGTACTGTTAAGTGACCTTGGTTGGTCCAACAAAATCACTGATTTGGTAAGGCTGCATGTGAGAAAATCAGTATTGTGTTTTATTAACCAGTGATTTTCTGTGGTTCAGAACAGTGGTGACCTGTACATCAAAATTATTATTATACTTTAATAATTTGTCTTTAACTAAATCTACATGAAAAATCATTATCATATATTTATTTTATTGGCATTTTCATTTGTTGCATAAATTGTTAATGATTCTTTTCCTTTTTTGGAAAGGAGCAAGATTTTTTAATTTGGAATAATAATGTTGGTTTTATGTATACTTATTCCTGGAAATTATCTAAAGTGTTCTTAATTTTTCATGTAATTCAGAAAAATTAAAAATTAGAATTCATAAATCTTTAATAGGGTAACCGTGTTTTGTCATTTGTACATTTTTTATTGTGTATTGTGTACTGGCACAATGAAGTGACGTTTTTCTCAACACTGGGCTAGTTGAATCTTTTATTTAGTTAGAACGTTTTTCCCATACATCAACGTTTCGGGCATCAGCCCCTCTTCAGCTAACTAAATATATATAAAAATATTNTAGTAAATCAGTTGTTTGAAATATAAAAAGTAAACAAAATTAGGAATAGAATTAAATGTTTAAAATTTTTGAAAAGTGCACTACTTTGTAATATGCTAAATTTGAAATGAATTATTTATATTAGGATAAGAAATTACCTTTTCAATAATTCTGAGCTAAATCTTTATACAGTGGGTGATCGGTTAACGAACATAATCCATTCCATGACTTTGTTCGCTATCCGAATTGTTCATTAACCGATTATTGATTTACCGTAGGTTTTAATGGGAATATAATTAATTTATTCTGGAGACCCCCAAAAATAAAAAATATATACTTTCTTACTACGTTTATTTATATGTAATAATAAAACTACATACATACACAGTTTTGCGTTTTTATAGTCATGTCTTTTCTGTTTGAAAGGGTTAAAGAATCTGTCTAATGTCAATTGCTTTTTTCTCTTCTTCACGATTTTTTGTAAGTAATTAATAGCATTGTAATTGTAGAGATCCCCAAGCTTCAACCTGGTTTGGATGCCATTCTAAGACTGTTGTTCTGACATCCTCCCACTTCTTCAAAGGATCTTTAATAACAGATATTGGCATTAATCCTTTTTTTCAGAAGAAAACATGTCTTGCTGAGTTTATTTGTGTTCTTCATTCAAGAGTTCTTGGTGTTCTTCTGTCGTCAGATCTGTTTCAAGTTCCATTACGAACTCTTCGATGTTCTTTATTTCTCAGATATGATTTTTGTTACTCCTTCAGCTGCTGGAGTCTTCTTGATTATACAGTATTTTTCTTAAATAAGATTGAACTGAGGCCTACTGTAGACTTGTTTATGCCATATTGCCTAGCAACATTAGGCATCTTCTGCCCACTCTCTACCTTTGCTATTATACTCTCACCTTTCAAAAAGAAAAACAGATGCAAAACTTAACAAGTGCCTACCCGACAGTCTTGTGAATACACAAAAGAACTGTTTTGTCAGAAAAATAAAAGGCTGGAATTACAAGGGAGAATTTCAAAGTTCAGGGGATTACTATCCGATCGGTATATACCGGCTTGAGCGTCATGTCGACGTCTCCCACACCGAAAGGTTTCGAATTGTTGCCCAAAGAAAAGGGAAGACCAATTGGTATTCAATATTTTACATTGCTTTTTCTTGTGTTTGTTCTGTGGGGTGTTTGTTATCCGATCATGTGTTCGTTGTCTGAACATAAAAATCTTTAGCAAAAGTGTTTGTTATCCGATTTGTTTGTTATCCAATCTGTTCGTTAACCGATCACCCACTGTATTTAAAAATTGCAGGAACAGTAAAAATGTATAGACAAAAAATAATTATAACTTTTTGACATAAGAATGAATCTAGTATTTGATTTGAGCTATTCTTAGAATATTTTAAAAGTTATAATAGCAGACTGTAAAAGTTACGGGCAGACTGTCTTTAATTAATAAAAGTAATATTTTTGGTTCCATTTCAGTTAGAGTGGATAATCTGCAGCATCAAAAATGCAATTATATTTGTTATTGATGTTATTGGCATATGATATATGCCAATAACATGTATGTAATACATAAATATATATGATTAGTTTTAATTAAATTTTTATATTAAAAACATTTTATATATTGATAAATTACTATGTATGAATATTAATAATAATAATAATTTTTAAAACTGCAGACATACTTAAAAATTTTATTCTTAATTAAAATAATATAGTTTTCTAATATATGAAGCGTGCAATGCCATAATGTTGTAAATGCCAAAAAAAAACTTTTCAGAAGAGGTAAAAAACACTTTTTCTAATAAAAGAAATCATAAATTTCAATTTTACAATAAAATGATAAAGTTTTTCTAGGTTACAAATTCTCTGGATTATCAAAACGATGTAAATATAAGCCGTAACGTTTTAAGCACCAAAAGTCATGTGACTTGCACTCTGTCGCCTTAATTTATCTTTACATAAATTCATCTTCAGAATATAGCCACTTATAGTGCCAATATCACCACAATATTCTTTTGCGGCAGAAAACGTTGCATTTAGAATTTAATTCTTCAATAAACCATATTTAGAGAAAAATGGCATTGCACACTTCATATATAGTAGAACCCCAATTATCCAAGTAATGTGAACTGATAAAACTTTGGATAAACAAAAACTCAGATAAAATGGAAGGCCACAACCATTTTGTATTAAAAATTACAAATATGAAATATTATATAGTATATCACTTCTAAGCCTCTTTTTATACCTTAGTGAATTTAATTGGGCTGCTCTTTGAAAAAAAAAATTGTAGACCTATAAATTCCCATTGTCATCCGCCTGTCTGTCCATCCATCCTTCCTTAATCATCAAACAGTGCTTGTGAGAACAGTGTTAGATATATGAAAGTCAAGACCAGATATGAAAAGCTTAGGGGCAGGATGTCCTGATTAACTATATTTGAACCTCTGGTCTAGACCAGAAGTCACATGAATTCAATTCAAAAATTTTCTCCTTAATAGAGTTACACGGGTGACTAGCATGACTTTGTTGTTGTCAGGAAAAGTATGATATACAGGGGCAAGACACTACAAATTTGAAATGAGAACATATGTTTTAAATTGAATAAAATAAGAATATGAGTAAAAATTGCAGCCCAGCATTGTGACAATGTCACAATAAATAATTGCTTTTTATATATANTTGACAAACACAATAAAATCATATACATTATAGACATATCCATTCCAAACACTCACAATGTACAAAATTCACCGAGGAATAAGGAATCTGCGGAGGATGGATAGGTTGCTTATTGTACTGTACATACCTGTTATTCTCTTCTGTACAGGTGTCATACCCCCACACTAAACAAAAATTTGGGAACATTACAGTTGAATAGAAACACATACATCACCCTACAGAAGACCAGTATATTGAATAAATGTCATATTGTTAGGAAATTCCTGAATACAGACACTGACACACTTATTTAATTTTACTTTTATTTTGGTTGCTATGCCTTGACTCTGGTCCAGCATAGTACACAGCCACCGGTGTAAACTGAGTATAACTCACAAAACCCAACATAATAATAATAAAACATAACAGAATCTAATCATGTTGTATTTATTATTATTTTAAACTTTCTTTTATGAATTACAATATAAGAAAAGGTATATTCACTTACAGTCTTACCTTGGATAATCAGGGTTCTATTGTTTATATATTGAGAATTCACAAGTTTGTGGAATAGAATATATATTAGCTAGTGTGTTTGGACTAAACATAAAACAGTTTTATTTATGAAATGAATTGGGAAAAAAGTATTTATTTTTCCCTGTTGTAAGAAGAAAATAATTTTATTTGCACCTAACAAAAGCCTTAAAAGTCTTTTGTCAAAACATACACGGTAAAACCTGTCCAAAACAGGAACTCTGCCTAAAATGAAAAAATTCTTTGGAATGGAGCCATTTTCTGTGTTAAAAACCCTGTTCAAAATGGAAACCTGCCAAACCAGAAAAATATTTGGTATTGTGCAATTATGATTTACACAGGTTACATTGTATGTGATTGTGCACTGAACATGCAAATTAAATTAAATTATATATATAGTAAATAATTTAAATATTTTTCAGACTACTATTATTTGGGATGCTAGTACAGGACAGTGCACACAACAATTTGCTTTTCATTCAGGTAGGTAAAATTTGTTTAATGAGTTATCACTGTCACATTTTGAATAATTAAATATTTTGTGTATAATTGCTTATTTTTATTAATTAGCCCCTGCATTAGATGTTGACTGGCAATCAAATACTAGTTTTGCATCTTGTTCTACTGATCAATGTATACATGTATGTAAATTAGGGTTAGATAAGCAAGTGAAGACATTTACAGGTCACACAGTGAGTAATAATTAATACTTACTTCATTGAAAAACATTAAAATTCATTTATTTTAAAAAAATATAATTTACAATTATAAATTATCTTTAATTTTAGTTTAATTATGTTTTTAGAATGAAGTAAATGCTATTAAATGGGATCCTCAAGGTACATTACTTGCTTCGTGTTCAGACGACATGACATTAAAGGTAAGATTTCAATATAGTTTATTTTTTTCATTTATTAATTTAGACATATGTATAATTTTTATTCTTTTTAATTTATTTTTATTATTTACCATAACAAGATTATTACTTAGTAGACATTAGAACTTATGTAATTTTATATTAAAAATCGAAAACCTAATATATTTTCTATTTAACATGCTTTTTAGTTAAACTGGTAAATTCATTCACAAATCATTATTTTTATCAACTGAATATATTAAATATTTTATTTAATAATTATTTGAAATTGTAATTAAATTCAATTTTTTCAGAATTAAAAATATTTTTTTTCAACAGCAAATTCATAAATGATTTATCTTAAAGCTTACATTTTTTTTTATAAAATGTATTTGATATACATCTTTTATATTTAAAAATATCTAATTTGTATTATTAGTCAGATTTTTACTTTTCTGGCCTAAGTGCAGAATATTAAACATTGAATAAATTATTTCAATTATTTATTTAAAAGACAAATATAAATTATTTAATTTTATTTGCATATATTTGTATGTTGAGTTTGGGTAGTTGAATATAACATGCTTTACAAAGAAGTTAGAGAATGGCAGGTATAAAAAGTTTCATAGATCTCTCATATTTTCTTCAAAGTTAAACATTTCATGCCATGTAATGAAAGATTTATTGTAAAATAGTTTTTCTAATGTCATCCTTTTTGTTTTAAATAAGAAAAGATAGATTTTTTTCAATTGTTTTATTTTTATCTTTTATCTTACTAAGTTGATATTAGAAAAATAATATACAGATGTTACTGAATAATTTAAGTGAATGTTTTTTTCTTACAATTTTGAAGTTATGAACTTTCTGGAGGCATTATTTATTATTTAAGAACTCTATATTTAAAGTACGATTAGACATTTTATTATAATTTTTATAATGAAATAATAATACATTTTTAATGAATTGTTTCATTATTCCATCATGAAAACGTGAATTCAAAAACTATGAAATTGTTTTTGGTTTCTGATGATCATGTAAATAATGTACTTAACAAGAGTTCCTAAGCAGCTATTTTCATTTCATTTTGTCATTTTTTTAAATTGGTAATATTAAAATACTGTATATGTTAATATTGTCATACAGTGACTGAGAAACTTTGTGAAAATGCAACAGAAGGATATGATGACACTTCTTACTGTTATCACTTCATATTAGATAATTACAATCCATGGATAGGTTGTGTCACAATCTAGTTAAATTAATGAGTTTTGCATTCTTGTTATATATTAATTTCTTCTATGGTGTCTTTATGGTGGTAAACAGTTGGTGACTATCAGTAAATATGCAATATTTTATTAATTGTTATTTAGGTTTAACAAAATATGATTTTAATTAACTACATATTTAATAATAATATACAGTAGATCCCCCTATAAGACGGTAGATACGTTCTGTTCTTTATGAATCCGATTTTGTAGGAATCACAGCCCGACACGTGTGAAGTTTACGGACTACGGCTGTTTGAAAGGTTTTCTTCCATAAAATTAATCGATTCTAGACTAATTCGACTCAACATTTCCAAAATACGTATATTTTTTTGG